ATCGTTAGCATGAATCTAGAATGATATACATATATCCACAGACTTTTGTCAGACCACTATTTATCCCTCTTGTACTCTACAGCCGAGAAGGTTAACCCGGATGTAGTGAGTTTCTGCCACCTAACCAACTCGTATGGTGCCCTGATCACTGGCATGGACGTAGAGAAGGTGCTGCAGCATATGGCCAAGACGCCCGGCATAGCTATGCACATCAATACCATGTACCATCTTATCACGAACATCAATTCTACGGCTGGGTTGACTGTACTACGCAGTTTACTGGATGGTATGTATTAAGGGTTATATATATATATATATATATATAAATATAAATCACATGTACAATGTGTACGTGTATAGTGTATAGTGTACATCTCGAAGTAGGTATTTTAGATGCACGTCCGTTTAGCGATGAATGTATTTCAAAATATATGTACTTGGGTATGACGATTACACATATGTTTGTAAACAATCAATATGTATGTAGGTATACATTTTGTTTTATAACCGAATATGCACCTATGTACACAAACATTGTATCAATATGAGAAAATGTACGTACACGTACATACATGAGGAGCTTTCAAGACTTGACACATACCCATGCCTCGTGCAGTTTTTTCCAAGGCTTACCTTCAGTCCTAGAAGACGTTTATGCATTCCCATCTTAGAACTTACCAACAGTCATACAAGACGTTTACGCATTCCTATCTAAGAAGCAAACATCAGATAACGCCGTAATCAACATATATATATATATATATATATATACCTGTGCATACAGCCAGATAGCCACTTTATTCTAATTGTATTCTCCAATCAGATCGCCTGAATCTGGGGCTGAAAGATCGAGTCCGGATCAAACAGTTTAAAGCGGTGTTGCTGAGTGGCCTTGACCAGTCACGGTCGACTGTGCAGAGCCAAATGATAGACACTACACTATTGTCATCTATCATGCAGGAGATAGTGGTACGTGGGGTTGTGTGAGTATGTGTGGTCGCATACGGTATATATATATATGTATATATATATATATATTTGTATGCATGTATATGTACGTATATATATATATATATTATGTGAGAATGTGTCCAGGTGTTTATATATGTATGTACGTTTTAATACGATGTATGCATGTAAACATAAATATGTTCATATATATTATGTGAATATGTGTCCGGGGGTGTGAGTTATATGTGTGGATATGTGCATGTAAACTCACCCACCACGTATACATATGTATACCTATGTATAAGTTGGAGAGTGTGTTTAGGTTCAGACGAGTGTACGTGGGATACTATACTTATTTACTATGAATACATCAACTCATGTATATAAAACAACTGAGATTTAAATCCAGTTTATGAGGTCCACGTGTTAGACCCCCATCTAGTATGGTTTAAACCAGTTCTTGTTCCGGGTTTACGTTTTCTTGGGGGTTCGTGTAGTTTTTTTATATACCGATAGGGTTGTACTCATGAATAGATGACCAGTCAATCATCATTGATAAATGATATATAATATATTCGCGTACTTGTGAATGGATCAGTCGAAAAAAGTGAGTGAAGTGAATGTACAATTAGGTCTCATCTCTACCACATCAGTACAATATAAATGGTGCCTTAGGAAGAGGTAGAAATACCACAGGGTGCCTAAGTAGGTAGAGATACCACAGGTTACCCTACGAGGTATAAAAACCAAGGGTAGTTTGACGAAGGTGTAAATACATCACAGTATGCGTGCGTGTGAGGACACCCACGTGTACTAAGGAGAGTGAAAGTGGATGGTTGAATGTGTGTGTTTGTGTACCTTTCACTGTTTACTTTTCCGTATCTTTCGCTTCTCCATAACCCTATTTGTCTTTGCTCTTGTACACGTGCACACGCGTGCAATCGCACTTGCCATATGCCTGCCAACTGACGAGTATATAAATCCCTCTCTCTCTCTCCCACACACACGCACAAACCCTCTCTCACACTCTCACACACACGTACAACCCTCTCTCTCTCCACACACACGTACAAACCACCCTCTCTCTCTCTCACGCCGTACAATCACCTCTCTCTCTCTCCCACACGTACAAACCACTCTCACTCACTCACACACACACACGTACAAACCCCCTCTCTCACTCCCACACACACGTACAAGCCACCCTCTCTCACTCCACACACACGTACAATCACCTCTCTCTCACTCCACACACACGTACAAACCACTCTCTCTCACTCTCACACACACGTACAAACCACTCTCTCACTCCCACACACGTATAAACCACCCTCTCACACTCCCACACACACGTACAATCACCTCTCTCTCTCTCTCCCACACACACGTAGAAACGCAACATCTCTGTGAATGAAGAGTTCTACATTACTGTGCTGAAGTATGTGGCCGTGCGTGGGGCGCCCGATGAGGTGGTACGGCTCATGAGCGAGTTTGGTAAACTGTTCACCGACCCCAACTACCGCGAGTACAAGCGTGAGGTCTTTGACGAGGTTATAGCCATCAGGTGAGGGTGAGACAGTCATTGCTATTGTTAGCATAGCATCTGTATCAGTGTATGTGGTTTGCAAGCATATAGGTCAATATAGCCATCAGTCACCGAACCATTGCTATTGTTAGTATAGTATCTGTATAAGTGTATGTAGTTTACCAGCAAATAGGTCAGTATAGTCATCAGGTGTGTGTGAGACAGTCACAGTACCATTGCTATTACTATTAAAATCCCAATACACGTATATTCCCATACTGATCGAATAGCTGAGCGTAGAATTAAACTATACCATAAAGTAGTCCAGCTTAGTTGGACATCCCGAGTGTTCATGGGCCTATGCCCAGCCACAATGTCTGCCAATGTACTACAACTGCCAGTGGTACCGAACCGACGGAGGCCCACACCTTCAACCACACACCCGTCTACTCAATCCAACACTAACTCGCTGATATATCTACTCAACCCAGCACTAACTCGCTTATGTACAAACCCCCTATGCTGGTTGTATATGAGGGTTCTTAAGTTCATACATTTTTATAGTACCCCGACGCCCTAGCCTGCTTTAACCCGCACGAAGTCAGTATATAGTACTATAGGCTATCTAGTATATAGTACTATAGGCTATCTAGTATATAGTACTATAGGCTATCTAGTATATAGTACTATAGGCTATCTAGTATATAGTACTATAGGCTACCTAGTATATAATACTATAAACTATCTAGTATGTAGCAGTATAGGCTATCTAGTATGTAGGACTATAGTACTGTATTTACTTCACATATAAAACTATCAGTGCAGGATCACACAGGATATACACACACATGGAAAGAGAGAGAGAGAGGGATTGTATATTCATCGATGAGCATGCATAGCTCAAGCATTGGCAAGCAATCTTTCTTATATCTTTGCCCTAGTTCAATCGACATACCAGTACCCAAGAATGCTGCGAGTATATTTTTTAGGGTTTAGGGTGTAGAGTTTTGAATTTAACACACAACTCAAACATATACGACACATCTAGGCCCGCACGCCCGTAACTACACCAACTCCGCTGCACATCCCCTTGTGCATAGCCACAGCTACGACGGCCCATATAGCACACATGCGCCACTCTAACCACCATCCATTATCTGTACGTTCTTACTACTCAACCCCTCGGTCGTTTAGTATGTAGCCGTACATCTGTATATTCTTACCAACCCCTCGGTCGTTTAGTATGTAGCCATACTTCACGGACTCACACATTCATTCGCCTGCGCATGCACACAGCTCGAGCATAGACAACGCTGAGGCAGTCCTGGAGGCAATGCCACAGGTATTGGGAATTAAACCCACCCGATCCACACTGTCTACCATCCACCATCTGTGTGTGTTACATAAGAACCTGGCGAAGGCAGAGATGTACAAGGAGCAGATACAGGAGCATGACGCCAACGATCCCTACTACACAATAAGAAAGCGGTAGCTATATCATATATATATATATATGCATATATGTATATGCGCATACACGAGTGTTCGCGCTTGTGAATAAAATTGGGTGTTGGGTTTTGGTTGCACCGGGTATTTAGTTACTGGGGAGGGTTTGGAGATCGCAGACAAACATTTGAAGTGCGGTACTAGCCCCTTCTGGTGTGGATGGGGAAGGCACAGGCATGAGCTGCGGGACGTGATAACGCGAACCTGTATCCCAATTTCTAAGCGGCTCCTGAAGCAGAGCGAAGCCGAACCGGCGATGACTACAGGCTGAGAGACGGGTCGAACTCAATCGTGCATGATATAGTTTTGGCTGAGAAAGCCAATGTAAGGGTCTATATCTCCACATAGTTGAACCCAAAAGTGTGCTTAAAAGTATGCTTTTATGGTTGATCCACCATTGTCGTTGTGGCTGTTTGTGCACGATCCCCCTACCCTACGTTGAAGGGACGTGCCGTAGTTCTACGGCGTAGGTATGGATTGTTTCAGTTGGCAGCATGCCTGTTCAGTGGCTCAGGCTGAGAATTGCTCTAAGGTTTTTGGTTTGTAGGGTTTTATGCTAAGACCCTACGTTCAAGGGTCGTCCAGTTGTCCTACGGCGTATTGTTGTTAATCCTAACAGCAGATAGCAAGCCGGGTATATCAAATCTCAATACAGGACACAGAGCCACACACCAATTGATTACTTTGGATCCCCTTCTGCACATCAGGGAAGGCGATGATACGTCCAGCGTATAGATATAGCCCTCTAAATTGAACAAGACCCTCTAAAAGACCTCTTAAAAAGCGCATATCGCTACACAGACGGGCGAGTGTAAATATTTATACAACACACTCGTGCGACAACATCTACTTCGAGCTGCTCGTTACGGACGAAGCAGAGATTTTTATAACCACTTTTGGGTTCATCCTGAGTTACT